CGACCAAGCATTCTTTCCGCAAGAGCTTGAAATTCATGAAACTTGTCAAAAACATCGGACTTGTGTTTAATAAGATAGACCCAAGTAAATTTACTATAATCATCGTTAAAACTCACATAATATTTCTTGCCCCCCACAGAATTGGGAGCAGGACCCCATACATCAATCTACTATAATCATCGTTAAAACTCACATAATATTTCTTGCCTCCCACAGAATCGGGAGCAGGACCCCATACATCGGAAAACACAAGATCCAAAGGATGTTCTGACACACTAAAGGACTTTGAATAAGGTAACTGATGGCTTTTAGCCTTTTGACAAGCATCACAAACTGACTCTTCTCTAGACTCAGAAAGACATGGTAGTTTATTCTGACTAATGACTTTTGCGACAATGGGAGTGGAAGGATGACCAAGGCGACTATGCCACCTTCTGAAGGATGGTGCAACACTGTGGACTTGCTTGGTGGTGCTGGCAGGAAGAGGGTAGAGACCTTTGTGGCGCCACCCCTTAAGAATCGTTCTCTTCGTGGCCTGATCCTTAACCAAAAAATATTTAGAGTAAATCTCAAGAAAAGCATAATTATCCTCAGCAAGTTTAGAAGCAGAAATAAGATTTTTTTGACGCTTGAGGAACATGAAGCACATTTTTAAGATGAAGTGTACGACTAGGGATATGAATAAAGGAATGACCAATGTGCTTAATTTTCATACCTGCGCCACTGGCGGTGTGAATCTGATCGGTGCCCTTGTACTTCTCTCGAGTAGTCAATTTGTCCAATTCACTTGTGAGATGATCTGTTGCCCTAATGTCTATATACCAAGTGGTATCAACACCATAGGCATAGGAAGCAGCAGCAACATGTCTTTCATCAGGAACATAGTTGGCAACGTGTCCTCTTTTGTAGCAAACTTGACACACTGGACGTGTATCAATGCGCTGCTGTTGGTTGCCGCCGAGGCCACGACCTGCTCCTGGGTTGCCGCGGCCACGGCCACCAGCACCATCGCCACGGCCGCGGGCAGGATTGCCGCCGCCGAAGCCACCTGTACTGCCTCCACGAGGAACAAAAACACTGTTGAGATTATAGACATATAATGATTTAATCTATTCCATAAATAAATCATGACATTACAGATGAAAACTAGCATGAACGCATCATTAGATCTACACATGTAAACTACACAGTATAACATGAACAGATCAAATATGCGCAACATATTGAACACGTACCGAGGTGACGGAAAGACCGGCTGCTTGGTCGGAACTTTTCGCAGGTGTCTACGAAGACACGAAACACGCGAGCGAAGAGGAAGGCGAGCCGTCGCGAACGAACAGGGAGCAGTCGCGCGAAGTGCTTCCCAAAAACCTTATTGCCGCCTTCTCCCGGTGCAGGACGTCGAAGGCAGAGGTTCCGGAGACCTGCTCTCCCGATCGCCGGTGCACGGCGGCGAGCGGGATGGAGTAGTCTACGAGCGACGGCGCAGTACAGAGTAGGAGGCAAACCCTAGATTGATTTCGCGTGTGTTGCGTGAAGACGGCAGGTCGGTTTATATAGAGAAGGGTCGCTTGATCAGGGCGCCCGCACGATCTCTACTGCGCGTAACCGAACCGGATAAGTCGCGCGTAACTTATCCGGACTCCATGCCGTTTGCACGCACCGGATTTTTCGGAACGTTTCCAAAACAAAAACGAATCCGAATTTGCAGCCAAACAAAACTGCAAAAGGAGGCTGCATCTGCGCAAGGGTGAGGAGCCAATTTTTCGGACCATTCGACGCGTACGTCGTGCACGCGCGCCGCCGGCCCGGCCCGGCGAGGCGAGTGAGCGCGCGCGTGTGTTTCCCCTCTTCTCTCCACCACACATGCTTCAAGTGACTAGGAGGGCATCCTCCCTTTTAAGGAGGTCCCCCTCTCCTAGAATAAGCAAGGTAGTACTAAACTCCACATGCATGCCATCCCATGAGGTGGGCTTTTGTGATTTTCCAAAGAATTAATCTTCTAGTGGGCTAAGGCCCATTCATTAATTCCAACAAACACCACGTCCAGCATTGACACGGTTTGCTGCATGCGCCGAAGCTCCACTCTGTCGCATCTTCAATCTATTCTCAAAATTTAACAGCTGAGCATATAGCTCGGTTATTGAGATGTGTTCAACCCTCATCCCAAGCGATGAAACAAAAGGATCATAATCACCATCTAGGCCATTTACAATATATGCAATCAATTCTTCCTCATCTAGAGGTTTGCCAGTAGCAGCAACTTCATCTGCATAAGCTTTCATCTTCCCAACATACTCAGAAATTGGCATGGTACCTTTACTTGTTGTTTGGAGGGAGAGACGCACATTGAGAGTGCGGGCACGAGATTGGGATGAGAACATCTCTCCAATTGCACGCCATGCTTGCGCAGCCGATCTTGATCCTGCCACCTGACCGAGAATATCTCGTGACAGGGAGGAAAGGAGGAAGCCGAGCACTTGCTGATCTGCTGCGAACCACTCCTCATACGCCGGGTTATCTACCAGCGTGATCTTCTCCCCTTTGTCTCCTTCCTTCCGCTCAATCTGAGCAGCCGGCGCAGCTGCCTTGCCGGTGAGGTAGCCCTCCAGCCGCGCCCCTCGGACGGCCGCCAGGACTTGCGCCGACCAGACGGCATGATTTTGCTTGGTCAGCTTCTCAGAGATGTGGACGCTGAAGAGAGGATTCGTGGTGGAGGTGGAAGAGGATGAAGACGCCATGACAATCTATGTCGAAGGCTCTGATACCATGAAAGATTTCTAATCTAGGGTTAACACCGATGGTGCGGTGATTCGTGTTGATATATCGCACAAAACGGCGAGAGAGAAATTACATATATGTGCATGCTCTGGATAGAAACAGCTGGATCCTGAATACAAGCGATAATAACAATCCTAGCTAATCTATAGCTAACTACCAGCCATCCTAATCCTAGGCACACACGGTTTACAGAGATATACTCTTAACACAGATACATCAAGCAAGCAGATTGTGATTACCGTTTTATCAAATGGGGTGTAAGTAAAGTAGTCCTTTTCGTCGTTGTCCACGAATTTGGAGTCAAGAAAAACATTGCTTGACATTTCTGGCACAGAGTTGAAGTATCTTCCATTCCACTCCCCGGTGGAAAAGTACACAATGGACGAGTTGCAAAGCATATCATAGTATTGCCTAGAGCCAGAGGGGTCTAACTCCATGCAATATAAGCCTAGAGCTGGGTTCTCGGAATTCTTCTTTGAAGTGAAACTATATTTCTGACCAGTGATCTTGTTCTGGCCAATCTTCACTCCAGGGAGGAAGACATCTGTTGGGTGATCAAAGCTCTGCCACCACACATTGGATGGGTTCGAGGCAACTCATATAACAAGGTTCCCATTGTCTAACAACACTACACTATTGTTCCTGCTGGTTTCTGGTCTATTCTCAATTTGGCTAGACCAAATCATTGGCTTGGCCACCTTGTTTAAGATGACAAGAGTGCCATCTCTTGAAACTCTAAGTTCTGACTGTTTAAAGATGGGGTCAGTTATTGGCTTATCTCTATTAGCAACCCACACAGTTGTGAACTTTGGGAGTACCAGTTGGGCAAGGTGGTGTTGTCTGATGACTTACTGCTGCCTGTTTGGAAGAAGCCGAGCGCAAACTTGCTGTTGCTTGAGATGAGCTTGTTTCCACCGGTGAGCACTTGGCCTGCCATGAGAGTACTGCCATTATTTGTGGCAGAGCATGCAGGGAAATTGCGCTGTAGGGAGAAGAGAAGCCCAAACAAGATCAAAACAGGAAGCATAGCAGCTGATGTTTGTGTGTGTGTGTGTGAGAGAGAGAGAGATAACAATTGGTGTAATATATAGGATTGATACTAGAAAAGATACCCGTGCGTTGCAACGGTGAATGCTATTTCAATCTTATTATTGTTATACGGTTTAGCTAGGATAAAATTCACCGTGGGAATTCGCTTGGATATTTTTTTTGATAATCATGAGCTGCAAATAGGAGTCCTATTTTTGGTGAAATTTCTTATACGACTCCTTTCGTATTTCCAAAAGCAAACGAACTTAAAATCTGACTCAAACACGGATATGTATTTCCAAAAGCGAACGAACTTAAAACCGACTCAAACACGGATAACGTACCAAAGTACCGACAAAAACATCTTTAATTTTTATAATACTAGAAAAAATGCCCGAGCGTTGCAACGGGTAAACTAAAATTATACCAAATATAAAATATTATATTATTAGGGATGAGTTTTCCATGATATGGGCCTTTAAGAAAATATATTTCTAGAGAAATAATGAAAGTTCAAAAAAAAAAAAGAAAAGGCCTCTTTAGAGTTTAGACCCACCGGCCTGCTAGGGCAGTCGCACGCGCAGCCCAGCAGTGTTGCGGCCCGGGGAGGGAGGCCGGCCCGACACAGGATCAATCTGAGCTGTTCATTTTCATCGACGGCTCGGATTGATTCTGAATCCATCAAAACCGCTAACCCCTAACCCCTAATTCACTATCCCCTTTCCTTCCCCACGGTGAGCCGCCTCCCACCCCTCTCGCTTTCTCGGCGATGACTCTCCCCCTCTGCCGCTCCTTCTCCCCCTCCCCGGCGGCGTCGCTCCCGCTCCACCCACCGGCGGCGCCGCTGACCCTCCACCCACGGCGGCGCCGTCCATCTCCCTCTCTTCCTCCCGACTGTCGTTCCCCTCGCCCTCTCTCTCGCCTCTCGCGCGATGGGTCCGGCGACAGCGACCGCGGGTGGATCCGGTCGCGGTGGTGGCGGGCGAAGACAAATCCGCGGCGGCGGCTCCGTTCGACCCTCTTGCTCCTCCGCGACGGATCTGATGGCGGTGGCGGCGTCGGCCCCATCCCGGTGTGACGACGCGGCCGGAACGCAGTGGGCTCGGACCCGCGGCGGGCTCGGACCGGTCGCGGCGGAAGGCAGCGATACGGACAACGGCAACGACGACAGCAGAGGCGGACGATGACAACGGTGATGACGACGACGACGGACCGACCATGAGGAGGCGGCTGCGGGAGGCGGCTAGGGTTAGGGTTTGGATTTTTTTTTATTTGGGATGTTGATTTTGTGGGGGATTCTTGATTTTGATTTGGGATTGCAATTGAGTGATTTTGTGATTTTGGGGAAAGGGGTTGGGAGCAATCGGTTGATCTGCTCGGGGATTTTTTTTATGGTGTATCTGAGTTCTCTTGTGGATCTCTCTTCTGACTTTATTTGGTTGGATTAGAGTCCGATTCTTTTAGTTTTTTGTTAGGAAAATCGCAAAAAAAAGTGCACGGGAGGGAATCGGACCTCGCCCTCTCGCGCCTCTCGTGCGATGGGTCCAGCGACGGCGACCGTGGGTGGATCCGATCGCGGTGGTGGCGGGCGAGGACGGATCCGGCGGCGGCGGCTCCGTACGACCCCTCTCGCCTCCCTCCCGTGGCAGATCTGATGGCGGTGGCGGCGTCGGCCCCATCCTCGGTGTGATGACGCGGCCGGGAGCGGCGGTGGGCTCGGGAGCCGCGGCGGGCTCGGGAGCCGGTCGCGGCGGAAGGCAACGATGCGGACAACGGCAACGACGATGGCGGCGGCGGACGACGACAACGGTGACGACGACAATGACGGCGCTGACCACGAGAAGGGCGGCTGCAGGAGGCGGCTAGGGTTAGGGTTTGGATTTTTTTTTGATTTGGGATGTTGATTTTGTGGGGGATTCTTGATTTTGATTTGGGATTGCAATTGAGTGATTTTGTGATTTTGGGCAAAGGGGTTGGGAGCAATCGGTTGATCTGCTTGGGGATTTTTTTATGGTGTATCTGAGTCTCTTGTGGATCTCTCTTCTGACTTTATTTGGTTGGATTAGAGTCCGATTATTTTAGTTTTTTGTTAGGAAAATCGCAAAAAAAGTGCACGGGAGGGAATCGGACCTCGCCCTCTCTCGCCTCTCGCGCGATGGGTTCGGCGACGGCGACCGCGGGTGGATCCGGTCGTGGTGGTGGCGGGCGAGGACGGATCCGGTGGCGGCGGCTCCGTCCGACCCCTCTCGCCTCCCTCCCGCGGCGGATCTGACGGCGGTGGCGGCGTCGGCCCCATCCCCGGTGTGATGACGCGGCCGGGAGCGGCGGTGGGCTCGGGAGCCGTGGCGGGCTAGTGAGCCGGTCGCAGCGGAAGGCAGCGATGCGGACAACGGCAACGACGATGGCGGCGGCGGACGACGACAACGGTGATGACGACGACGACGGCGACGACGGCGGTGGACGACGACGACGGCGGAAGACGACGACGACAACGGCGCCGACCACGAGGAGGGCGGCTGCGAGAGGCGGCTAGGGTTTGGGTTTGGATTTTTTTTGATTTGGGATGTTGATTTTGTGGGGGATTCTTGATTTTGATTTGGGATTGCAATTGAGTGATTTTGTGATTTTGGGCAAAGGGGATGGGAGCAATCGGTTGATCTGCTCGAGGATTTTTTTTTATGGTGTATTTGAGTTCTCTTGTGGATCTCTCTTCTGACTTTATTTGGTTAGATTAGAGTCCGATTCTTTTAGTTTTTTGTTAGGAAAATCGCAAAAAACGTGCATGGGAGGGAATCGGACTGGAAAATAGGGCGGAAAAATCGCAAAAAACCGCACGGGGAGGGAATCAGACTGCGCATCGCATTATATTGGGACAACGTACGAAAATTCTTGGCAAAAACATCTTAAACTTTTATAATAGGTAAAGATAAAGTTATACAAGCTGTTGTGGTGGTGTTTGGCATCTGGAACGAAGAACAGCAAATATAGAGGGTCTTAGGGTGTGACTATTATAGAAGCGTAGAACAAATAAGTAATAACACATGACAGTTTGCTTCTGTTAATTGGTTTGAATAACGGGCAGCGTGGACTATCTAGTTATGGCATGATTCTTCTGCCGGTCAAGTTTTGTTTCCCCTTTCAGTCATTCGGTCTTGATGCGGGAGGGACAAGATTTCTGGTCCGATGTACCTCTAATACGTTGGTTTTTGACTTGTCTATGACATCAATATAGTCTTCAATGCGGATGTTTGATCACTTGCCTTTTCTAATCATGTATTTATAAAAATTTTTACAATAAAACAACATCAAATTGTTTCTCACAATCCACTGATGTCATTTCTAAATTACAAATCGTAATTTCTTTTTCATATTGGTGAGACAATACTTATTTATTATGCTCAGGTGCACAGAGAGGAGTAGAAGCATCTTGGTTATAGCGCATGCCTTGATAGAGAGTTGTGCTGAAGTCAAAGACAAGCAACCTTTGTTGCTTCATCACTAGAGGTTCTAGAAAAGTTATTGGAATACACTGTTTAGCATTTGATAAAGGGGTGCCTAAGATGCCAAAAGGTAATACGATATTATCTAGTGGGTTTATTTCCATTGATGCAGAACAGAAGAGTGAATGAAGGAAAGCCCCTTCTGATAACCGTTCGAAAATAAATGTTCATGGCACATTTGCTGGATATTTCGGAAATCCAGAAGTCTGAATTTTCTGTTCCTTTCCTGAAGCATCTGTGTGGAGGTACTGAATTGTTTTTGGCACGTCAAAGCCTCACAAGGACGTTCAGGAGGTATATAAATATATACTGATGGGCATCAACTTGGCCTTTTTACATAAGCTCCATGGATGAAGTGGTTTATTATTATTGAATAGTATCACATTGGTTGCGGAACGGCTAAAGACCTAATATATAAATGAGGGAGCCTCTCACCTCATTGGCTAGATATCAGAGCCTAACTAGTTTAACATCTCTGGCTAAAGAGACATAGTCACCGTAGGTGCCTATGGGACCCGTATACCCGAGGAACCAGCGGTGAATGGTTGAGGGACACCAATGTGGTGAATGGCCGAGGGACACCAATGTGTGAAGAAGGAGATTATTGAATAGTCCCACATTTATTGTAGAAGGGCAAATGACGAATGGGTCCTTCATCTCATTGGCTAGCTTTTAAGATGGGAAAGATCCTTTACAATCCTACAATTATATTGAATTTCATTCGAGAAATAAGGAAGAATTTTCAATGGGATCTCGTCGGTGTATGGAGTTGCCCAATCTCAATTTAAAGAGGTAATTTTATCGGAGCTAGCCCCATAAGTGCAGTAGAGAATCATTATCAATTATTGTGGTTGTGGGTTAGAATTTTAACATTATTCATTCACTTGAATGAGAAAAATATGGAAAGATTTCGATATGCTTTGGTCTTTTCTTTTCAAAGCAATCATATATAGCAATCTGGACTTGAGAGAAATTGACCTCTCATGGAGAAACTTTTCTTGGCAAACAACTTGGAATAACCAACTTTTGAAAAAAATTTTTTAGGATATTTTGGAAAACTCAAAAGATGGAGATCGAATGGACTGGGAGCTAAAATTTCCATCAACCATTTAAAGTAAATGCCTTGGATAGGAGCCTTTCAGACCACACCCCTTCACTACTTCATACCGGTGCTACCTCACATCCAACAAACCTTCCTATGTTCAGATTTGAATTTGGATGGCTGGGGAGGGACGATTTTTTTATGAAATGGTGGCAAAGTAATAGAATAGCATGTCAAGAACACCAATGGAGCACTGGAACAACAAAATTTGCCACCTCCGGCAACATTTACATGGCTGGGCTAGGCACACAAGTGGAACATACAAAAAAGAAGACTTCAATTTTAAAGTGCGCTTGATGAGGTAGATAAGAAAGCGGAGCGGTTTTTGCTCTCTGCAATAGAAGTGGAATCCCTGAAACAAGCAAAAGCAGGCTTGGTTAAACTGTACTAATTTTTAAGTGCAGTTTTCACTGTCCGCAATAGAAGTGAAGTTTCTGAACGAGGAGCTTTGTTGGTACCAACAAAACAAAAATGACCTGTTAGTAGAAGATAGTACTATCACCTCATTGCAAATGGGAAACATAGAAAACATTGTATTCTCCAGCTAAGACAAAGTGATGGTGTAATTAAGGATGAAGGACAGCTTTGGACATATATTACCAACTATTATAGAGTCATTTTTGGCCCTCCCAAACAAAGATATTTTTTCAATGGATGAGTCTTTGCACAGACGACATTAAGTGAAAAAAATGTCAAACCAGTGCTGCTGGGAAGGTCTTGATTTTACAAGAAATTTGGTAGAAGTTTCATCGAAATCCGATTTAGAATGACTAAAATCAATGACAAAAACTTGAATTAAATCCAATTAATTTCAAAATCATCATGTGGTGCCATTTTCCCTTTTTTTTCCAAACCCCAAATTATAGACACATTTCCCCCTTTAGTTAACTTAACTATTTTCATTAATCCTTAATCATTTTACCCTAGGCCCATGTGTCAGTCTCTCCTTTCTCCCTTTCCTTCTTCCTCATGCTCTCTCCCTCTCTCAGCTCGTGCTGGCTCTCTCTCCCATGCGAGCCCGACACTAGGGTTGGCTCGCATGGGGCAGCCTGCGAGGGAATCCTCGCGGCCTGCAGGATGGCTCACATGTCAGTCTCTCCTTTCTCCCTCTCCTTCTTCCTCATGCCCTCTCCCTCTCTTAGCTCACTCTAGCTCTCTCCCTCCCACGTGAGCCCGAACTAGGGTTGGCTCGCGCGGGGTAGCCTATGAAGGAAGTCTCCCGGGGTGGTTGGGGACCTAAGGGTGGTAGTAGGATGGCTGGGGAGGCATGTGCCAGCGTGGATTGTTGTTGTTGGGTGCGGTGGTGGAGGGTCTTTAGGTTTTTGGGTTCACCGGCGAAGCGGTTGCCAGACGGCGAGGCGAATGCCGACGGTGGGGTTCTGGGGTACCTGGGGTGCTACATTCACTGGTGGAGAAACCATCTTTCGTCGGTCGGCCGAATTCCACAATAGTCCCGGTTGCAATAAAAACCGGGACTAAAGATGATCTTTAGTTCCGGTTAAAAAGGGTAACGGGCATATTTGATCTTTAGCCCCGGTTGGTAACACCAACCGGGACTAAAGTCCCACCCATATATGTCTTCTTCCTCCTCCAGCCCGAGCAAGCTTCAAAATTTCTTCAAAAAAGAGGGGAGGTCATGCCAAAATTTCAAGTGAATTTACTTTGGTGATTATATACAAATCGGAGGTGCCTAAAAGGTTAGCAACTTCATCCTCCAATGTTTTTTTGGTCATATTACATTTGGAGCTATGTTTTGCACACTTTTTTGTCTCCAAAATTTTGTTGTAAGTTGATGAGAGAGAAAATTTGTGTGGGAAAAGAAAGAATATATAGAAATTTTGTTTATTTGCTAAAGAAGGTTTTATAAAATAGTTGAGTAGGAAAATATAGTGAAAGTTAATCTTAAATAAAAGAAAACAAACTAAATTGAAAATTAAAAGAATTTAAAACTTCAAAAATAATAGATAAGAATTATTTGGTGGAATATTTTCTAATTTTTGTATGAATAATGATATGTCATTATTGTATGACTGTTGAAAGAGTTTGTAATTATTTTATCATTATTGTATAAATGTCATTATTGTACGAATGATTATTTGTGTACGTTTTTTTGTCATTTCATGTAGATGGATCGGCAATGGATGTATGCTGACCGGCGGTCCAAAGAGTTTATTGACGGCGTGCATTATTTTTTGAGAGTGGCCGAAGCTAACAAACAGAAGGGTTTTATTTGTTGTCCATGTAATAAGTGTAAGAATCAGAAGGAGTATTCTGCATCCAGGACTATTCATTTTCACTTGTTTGAGTCGGGGTTCATGCCAAGCTATAATTGTTGGACATCCCACGGAGAGCAAGGGGTTGAAATGGAAGAAGATGAAGTGGAAGACGACAATATTCTAGAATTTGCTCAGTACGCTGGATTTGAAGGAAATCAAACGGGCGAGGAGGACAGAGATGCTGATTATAACGACGTTGCGGATGATCTTGGTCAGATGTTGCAGGACGCCAAGGAGGACTGCGAAAGTGAAAAGGGGACCCATAAATTGGACAAGATGTTAGAGGACCACAGAACGTCGTTGTACCCAGGTTGCGAGCAGGGGCACAAAAAGTTGGATACCACTCTGGAGTTCTTGCAATGGAAGGCAAAAAATGGTGTTAGTGACAAGGCATTTGGCGATTTATTGAAACTCGTCAAGAACATTCTTCCGGAAGGAAACAAATTGCCCGAGACAATGTACGAGGCTAAGAAGATAGTCTGCCCTCTAGGACTGGAAGTTCAGAAGATTCACGCATGTCCGAATGATTGCATCCTATATCGCGGTGAGGAGTACGAGAACCTAGAAGCATGCCCTATTTGTAAAGCACTACGATATAAGATTAGACGAGATTATCCAGGTGAGGTTGACGGGCAGCTAACGAAGAAGAGAATTCCTGCTAAGGTGATGTGGTATTTCCCTATAATACCACGGCTAAGGCGTTTGTTCAGGAACAAGGGGAATGCTAGAATGATGCGTTGGCACGCTGAAGAACGTCAACAGGACGGGATGCTGAGACACCTCGCCGATGGTTCGTAGTGGCGAAACATCGATAGAAAATTTAAAGACTTTGGAAAGGACGCACGAAACATACGGTTTGGTTTAAGTACGGATGGCATGAATCCTTTTGGAGTGATGAGCAGCGGCCATAGCACTTGGCCCGTTACGATGTGTATCTACAACCTCCCCCCTTGGCTATGCATGAAGAGAAAGTACATAATGATGCCGATTATTATTCAAGGCCTCAAGCAACCTGGTAACGACATCGATGTGTTCCTAAGACCACTGGTCGAAGATCTTAAACTGTTGTGGAAGAAGGAAAGTGTCCCCGTGTGGGACGAGGACAAACAGGAGGAGTTTAACCTACGAGCGCTGCTGTTCGTAATCATCAACGACTGGCCTGCACTTAGCAACCTATCCGGGCAGTCCAACAAGGGGTACAAGGCTTGCACTCACTGTATGGATGAAACAGAAAGTACGTATCTTAACCACTGTAGGAAGGTTGTGTACATGGGTCATCATCGATTTCTTGCTGCAAACCACCCAGTACGGAAGAAAGGCAAGCACTTTGAACATAAGGCGGACCACCGTATGAAGTCTAAACATCGCAGCAGGAAAACAGTGTTTGCTATGGTGAAAGATCTTAAAGTAGTGTTTGGAAAGGGGCCTGGCAGCCAGCCTATAGAGAGCGAAGACGGTCACGCGGCGATGTGGAAAAAAACTCCATATTTTGGGAGTTACCCTATTGGGAATTCTTGGACGTCCGCCACGTAATCGACGTGATGCACCTCACTAAGAACCTTTGCGTAAACCTTCTTGGCTTCTTAGGTGTATATGGAAAGTCGAAAGATACACTGGAAGCACGTAATGATCTGAAGCATATGGAACAACGCGGCGACCTTCACCCGGAACCAAAGGAGAAAGCAGCCATTACTTGAGTCCAGCCAGCTACACTCTTAGCAAGACAGAGAAGGAATGTATGTTTCAATGCTTGGAGAGCATCAAGGTACCATCTGGATACTCCATGAATATAAAGCGAATAATAAGCCACGAAGGAGAAGAAGTCACAACCTAAAGTCTCATGACTGCCACGTGTTGATGACACAACTGCTACCAGTTATAATAAGGGGTATCCTCCCAGACAATGTCCGGGCAACAATAACAAAGATATGTTCTTTCATGAACGCAATTTCGCAGAAGGTCA